GTGCAGCCAGCTGAAGCAGGAGTTCGACTCCGTCGGCGATGTGCGCGGCATGGGCCTGTTCGTGGGCATCGAGCTGGTCAGCGACCGGGAGACGCGCTCGCCGGACACCCAGGCCGCCCACTGGCTGGTGAATCGCATGAAGCAGCTGCACAAGGTGCTCATCTCCAGCGACGGGCCCAACGAGAACGTCATCAAGCTAAAGCCGCCCATGTGCTTCAATCGCGAGAATGCCGACGAGTTTCTGCTCGCGTTCCGCGAATGCCTCACCACCCTGCGGCAGGAGCAGATGCAGGCGCGCGCCATGGAGGCGGCGACGGCCGCCGCGGCAGCGGATGCTGCTGCAAGCACCAACGGTGTCATTGCCACAGCGGCCGAGACGCTGGCCAACAAGACGAAGCTGTTCGAGCGGCAGGATCGCCTGATCAAGTCTGTCTGAGTGGGGCATGCTCCAGCCTCAGCCTGCGCCCTTACCCCAGCTCCAGCTCCTGCTCCAGCTCCAGCTCCAGCTCCTGCTCCAGCTCCAGCTCCAGCTCCTGCTCCTGCTCTTTCTCCTACTCCTTAGTTAGTTGCACAAAGATAATCATATATATATATATATGTATATATATATATATGTTTACCGTTATATAAATATGTACATCTATTTTTTTTTTACTAGCTGTAGCTTGTTAGGAATATCTCGATATATATTTAAATATTATATTTTATATTCTATTTTTTTTTTATCATTTTTTTTTTATCCAAGCGAATTATACTTCTAGTATCTAGAAATGTAGCCACAAATATATACAATAATAGTGTTATATGCTTCTTCTTATTACTATGATTATTATTATTATATATATATATTTTTTTATAGATTGTATACATATTTACAAATATATTTTAATATACTTACATACATAAAAAAAAAACAAACAAACGAATTATTTTTTTTATTTTATTCAACATTTTTGATGACAATAAAAAATATGTATACATACATATATTTACATAGATATATACATATATTTTTTATAGACTCACTCGCAGAAATTCCCATATTTTATAGCTTTAAGCTTCGCTGATTTATTCAATAAATCTGTTGCTGTTCCTGCTAATCGAACGTGTATTATTGTGTGTGTGTGTGTGTGTGTGTGTGTTGGCTGTTTTTGTATTGGTGTTGGAAACACGTAGTCAGCTTTCTTTTACAGTAAAAGCTTATCTGAAAAAAGCTGCGCTTAACGAACAAGCAAAGTTCAAGGAGAAGGATGATTGAAATAGGAAGAAAGAGTGTGAGAGAGAGAGAGAGAGAGAGAGATAGAGAGAGACGTGAAAAATAGTGAAAAAGATATATGTATAGAGAAAAAGAATGTAAGATTTTTAAATAGATATAACAAACTATAAACTGATTTCCCATTTAAAATGGGCTCAAGGTATAAAGATATATATGTAAGGAAAGAAAACCTCTAGAGGAAGCGAAATAAAAAAGAAAGATCAGAAAACAAAAACAAAATAAAAGTATGGAAAGAGAGACACGTAGCGACGGACAAAGACAGCGAAATGTAAAAGGAGAGAGATAGAAATAAAAATCGAAGAAAATAGTGACAGAGAAAAGACAAGAGAAAATGGAATAGAACAAGAGATGAAAGAGCAAGGGAATAAGGGTGAGAAGAAGAACAGAAATAACGATAATGAAGAGAAGGAGAGATATAGATAAGAAGAGGGACAGAGAAAGTGAGAGGAAGAGCGAAAGGGAGGCAGAGAGAGAGAGAGAGAGAGAAAGAGAGAGAGAGAGAGAGATAGAGAGAGATAGCAAGGACACTTCAACCGAAAGGTAAGTGAAACGATGCCTCATTCGTAATCTTCATCTCGGCCCATGACATTTTTTACTTACCATCAAATCAACTCAAATTCCATTGCAAATGTTAACAACAATAAAAAATAAAACTACAAAAGAATTTATGTGTTTTTTTTTTTTTTTTGCTTTTAGTTTTAGTTTTTTTTTTTTTTTTTTTTGAGGGTTTTTTTTTTTTTTTTTTTTTTGCCAATGAAGCAGCACTCCAAAGGTTAAAAGTCATTCGAGATATGAACGACTTAGAACTGCTTTTAGCCATAGGTCAACTCTGGCTAATGGAGCCACATGATATTTATGTAGAGCGATTTCCATATTGGGTTAAGTGCATTTCCTAGTTGAGAACACTCCACATAATCACTTCAATTTATGAGAGTACTGTCATTTCGATTATTGATTTTGGCTATTGTTCGTTCAAGCGTTTCAAATATACATACATACATATATATATATATAAATATGTATTTATATACATATATACTCTTATCGACTCTTTGGAAGCTTTTGAAGAGATGCAAACTGTGGTAGATTCTTATATATAGCTTCGTCCAATGGCCTTTGGGTATGCAAACTGTAATTATACTCCCACTGAGATTAGTTCAAAAGGGGCGTGGCAAGGTGATAAGTACTTCAAGTTAGAGACTTGATCCTTTTCTTTTTTCACTGTGAACAATTCAATGTTTTCAATTTATGTTAAGATCTTAATCGCTTCCATCTTGATCATATATAACTCGAATATGCTGTACGTAATTTAGTCAGCGACAAATGACATTTCACTTCATAAGCTGTCGCAATTAAACTCAATTGTATATAAGTGTCATATGAATCATATTTGTTATATGCGAATTTTTTAATTTTTTTTTTTTTTTTTTTTTTTTTTTTTTTTTTTTTTTGGGTACACTTGTTAATTTAATGGCACATTAAATATTAAAGCTTACAACTGGAGAACTTGATCACTTGTCATATATGTTTTGTTTTGTATTGCTTTTTTTGCAAGTGGCTTTAAATCCGTCAAAACGTTTAGCTATTGTTGTATACACGCACACATACACACACACACGTACACAGGCATACACAGATGTGCATCAGTGTGTTGGCAACAAATTATACCATTTGGTTGTTAGCTAGCATGACAAACATATGTATGTATGTATGTATGTATGTATATGTGTATATGTGTAGAGCATTTGTACAAACTACTTATAATTGCTGTAATTACTTCACGTGAAAATGGACATACATATGTATGTATGTACATGTGTCTGTCTGTATATGAAGGTGTATATGTATTTACATTTGTATGCACAGCGTATGTTGAATTGTGTCGATTAAAACTAATTGAAGGTTGACAGCATCAAATGCTACAAATAAAATCAACAACTTTAATCATAAGCGAATCAATGTAAAAAATAAACAAAAACAAAACAAATTCATCAATTATTCTGCTTAGAATATGTTAAATATCAAGTGATCGACTAGTAGACACTCTAGGAATTATAATAGTCGAGCTGCAGACTCAGCTAGCTTCTAGTAATAACTCCCTAGCGTGCTAGTGCTGCTCATACATGTATGTGTATTTAGCATTAAGCTTGAGCAGACTTTAAGCTAATTAACATTTAAGCCTACAGTAAATAAGTTCTCAGTATTCGACTCAGCGCTGACTCGACACTGCTAAGGTCAAGCACTTTTATTGTTCCATTCAGCCAAAGGCTAAATGTGATTACGCATTATGCATTCCCGGCTACAATGACCCCCGGAACCGAATCCCAACGATGCTGGGTAAGAGCAGCGGCAAGGGAGAGAGGCGAAGTAGGCAGGGTATTGCAAAATCCAAACGTTTCAGAGGCAAACACTAAAATATGATTACAAAATAGCGCGAGCCCGATTCAATCAAATCACGCAAAGCTAATTAACACTTTAAGCTGTTGCACAACCAGCCACTGACAATGGAGCGACAGGAATTACATTAGCTATGACAAGTGAGAACATTTCGCTCGGCTTCCACTCGATGCGCAATAGCAAAACATCTTCGAAAACGACTGTCGGCCGGCTGCAGATGCTGATGCTGGTAATACGATAGTTTGTCAGCCAGAAAGTGCGCTGATTCAATTATTGGTGACTTAATTGTATTATTTACCTTGCATTCGGCAATGAGAAAATCTAGGAAGTTGTTTATCGAAGACGTGCTCAGCAGAGAGCATTTAGTTTTTGTGTTTTTTTTTTTTTTATTTACTTTTTTTTGTTTGTGTGTCAACCATTTTTGTGAGTAATACCTTAAATCCTCAGCTGGACTAAAAAATCTTTATCGATTAGATGACTTCATAGAACAAATCATGAGTAAGTAATGGATAAACAGAGGAGAGCTTTGGTGAGAGGTGTTTCTGAATCTAAAATTATTTTTATGTTTAGGACATCATCTGAACCAGAGATTCGATTCTGTTGTCTAAATTTTCCATTCTGAATTTAAAAATGGCCAATAGATACAGTATAGGCTCCAGAACTTTACTCGGTGTAGTATCATATTTGACCATATTAGATTCAGGTTATTTTCTGGTGTCTATATTTTAGGTCCACAGCAATTTGTATACCCATTGAACCTATTGAAAATGTTATATATGTTGTTATATACATATAAATATGTAAATAATATCTATTCAATGATTAAACATACTTATATTTCGAAATGTTAACGCTTCGTACGAGCTGGAGCTTCACACGATAAAGCTAAACAAGTTGCAATGATCAATAAAAAAATGATCATAATATCGATATATTATAAATCGATAATTGCTTGCTCTAGTTAGAGGTCTTCAATGAAGGCTATAAGATAATGTAGAAAAAAAAGCATTTGGAAGATGGTACCAACAAATTATTTATTATTAAGCCATCAACAACCATCCGGTCCATAATCGATCAAAAATAGTTCTCTTCTGTATATACAGTTCTCTTCTGTATATAAGTATGTTCTCTCACACTGATCTGCTAACGTCGCGTCGTACGTAGTCAACTGGATTTTATTACAAAAAGTAAAAAGCTCAAATCATCCTTGCATAGCCCAAACGCCAACAGTGCTCTAGCTGACTTTGATCTCAACAAGGAAATCGCGATAATCATATGAGTAAACAAAAAATAATTTTGATTCAGATTTTGTTTTCTTATTTTAGAACAAATATCATAAATGTAATAGGGATTGAAAAAAAAAAGACAAGGGTAAGCTAAGTCAACAATAAGTAAGTCCTGTATATATGGGATTTGGCCTTGCATAGCATTTATCCAGCTGAAAGGTAAAAGCAGAAAGCATTTATTGAGTTTGGTGTCAGGATAGCTGCAGTCAGAACTTACCAATGGGTTGAGCGTTGCCCATAATTTCAGCCGGCACGGTTGGCGCAATCGGCGCCAGGGGCACGCGCTCCGTCGGCGCGTCGACTTGGGCGACGAGCGTGCTCTTGGGCGTGGAGGCATCGTCGGTGAGGCGGTGCTTCAGCTCCTTGTACTTCTCGACCACGGAGCTGCCAAGCTCCTTGGCGCCTTCGCCAATCTTGTCGGTGTAGGGCTTGGCCGCATCAGCGACGTCCTCGGCGCCCTGCTTCACCTTGCAGCTGATGCTCTTGAAGAAGTGCTTGAAGTCGCTGTCCTCCGGATTTTTGGCCTCGTCGCAGTCGGCGGCGCGCGCTTGGCCGTTGAGCAGCGCCAGGCAGAGCAGCGCGCAAAAGATGATTCTTGATTTCATGTTGGCGTTTGATTATTGCTGGACTGTTCTCCACGAGCTTGGCAATGCGACTGAGCGACGCAAAAACTCGACTCGCAATCGCACGGCGCTGCTTATATTGGCGGGCCATACCGGTTTATCAGCGTTTCGTGGAACTGCCTCCGTTTGGTCCCGCTCTCCGACAAGCCGACGTCCACTAATTAATAGACCCGACAGTTTCGATCTTACACACACAAATCTGTATCTGGCATACATATGTACATATATGAAATCTTGGTTTACTTGGAAACTAGGGCCAATCTGTCTTAGTCTATGTTTCAGAATAATCCCAGTTGACCTATTGCAAATTAGTAAAAATGCGACCGAGTCTGAGCGCAGCTAATGAGAGAAACTCAACGATCCCAAAATATCCATTCAGCATAGACTGAAGCAGTCCAATAGTTTAAGAAATTACTTACAGTGTGCCCATCAACGTCAGCTTCGATATTGATGCTAATCGCTTGATCAGGTTGCGACATATCCATAAGATGTTATCATTGAATGATCTCCAATTGGCTGAATATGCAAACTGTTTAAACTAATCTTTCATATATAGTATCAAACAATCCGACGTAATTGACAAAGTTGAACACAAATACGCTAGATGGCGCTGCTTGACACTGGAAACTTCTATGCATTTCGGAATGTTTGACATTTCGAGAATATGTGTATCTTTAAGTAGGTATATTTATACTTACATACATATACATGTATACATATATATGTATACGTGTACATAGCTTCAAGTGAACCGGCGTTTAACAGAAATACGCTAGATGGCGCTGTTTAAGACGGGGTTCTATTATGCATATCGGATTTATCAAAGAAATTATACATACATATATACATACATATGTATGTATGTATGTATGTATGTATAAATATGGAATTATACACATACATTTGAATATGTACATATATGTATATGTATGTATGAATGAATTAATTTGTATAAATATGTATGTATATATACTATATATAATATATAATGTATATCTATCTGCATACTTCATTGCCTACATATGTAAATATTCACAGATGAAAAGAGAATACTTGTTTACAGGGTATCTCGTGGTCGCACACTCGAGTCCAGAGTGCACTCACTCATTTATTACACGTTTGCCGAAAACAAAATAATAATAAAGAACAAAAATAAAATCATTTTGTTGTGGTTTGTGATTCACACCGTATGACATCTAAGACTACGAGTACATTTCATTAGCAGTAATCTAAGGCTAGATAAATAAATATATGTATGTATATATAAATCGTGTATGTATATATAAATTCGCTGTGGCAGGCGCGTCTACTTGAGCGGCTCTTGATTTGTAATTTCATTCTCGGCCTCATTGGGAGCGAGGCCGTTCGCTGGCGGTTCTGTGGGATGCGTCACCTGTCCAGCCTCCACAGCGGCGTCTGCTGCAGCGTCGCGCTCTGTGCTATCAGTGGGCGTGGCTAGGGTCGTGGGCTTGGCGGAATCAGCGCCTGTCGAGGGCTTCCTGTTGCCGACCGTGCTGAGCAGCGAGTCAATCAGATCCCCGAAGCGATTGACGATGCTCAGGCCGACGCGCTTGGCTGTCTCCTCGAGGCGCTTGGCCTCCGTCTCGAGGTCCTCGATCCAGGGCTTGGCCTTCTCCAGCGTGCACTGCACATTGTGCAGAAACTGATTCACCTCGCTGGGCTTGGGCGTCACCTCGGCGGACTCCGTCGACTTGACACTCGCCTGCCCTTCTGGCCCGCAGATAATGGGCGCGGCCTGCAGCTGCCCGAAGCAGAGCAACACCAGGAAGATCAGCGGCATCCGCGTCTGAGTCATCATTCCAACTGCAGCAAAGTTTTCTTTATAGTCGGAAATAATTGCTCTGGCGTCTGGCGTCTGGTGTCTAAATTGTGGCGTCTGGCGTCTGAATTGTGGCGTGTGCAGCAACTGAGACCAAAAACCTGACTGAAACTTGTTTGCAGCCAGCGGCAGCAATGGGCTGCCCAAGCTTGGCTTTCAGCTGCAGATGGGTTACAGATCGGCCGATGGCGAGCTTTTTAAGAAAGTCGTCAAGCCAGTAAGACGCCAGACAAAGCCGACGAGAACTTTCAAATCGGGTGCAATCGACCAGAAAATACGCTGCTCCAGGAATGTTCGAGCAAAGCGAAATTCGGCCGAAAGAGCTGAGGAGACAGCTAGCCCGAAGTATAAAATCTTCAGTCTATGCTTGGGCCTGCAACCAATATACTCTGCTTGCTGCCGCCAGTGCATGCAAAGGGAAGTCTGGCTGCGGCTGCAAGTCAAATACACTCGAGACTCTCAAATTCTACTTAAGCTAGGTAGGCCGACCTCATTTATGATCGACGGGAATGACAAATAGGCCTGAGAACAAGCCAGCCAAGCCAAGCAGCTGGCCATGTCAATTGAAGAATATGCTGATGGAATACCCAATTGGATAAAGACATATCTCTTCTGGCGATAATTTGCATAGTCAACTCTCTGATTATGTTCAATTGTCCAGGTGCAAAGCGGCTGAAGTGTGGCAAATGCACAGACTACATTTATTTCCACAATCCGATAGTCGAAAATGCAATTTAGATAGCTTTGTTGATATGCATGACTATACTCGACTGGCTAGTACTCGGCCCCAGTACTCGGAGATGGTGCTGAAAGTAGATCTTATGGTCGTTTCTCTGTGATATAATATGGTACCCAGACATTGAAATAGATAAAGAATAGTTAACTCTTTATGTTGCAAAGCGCTTGCTTTTATTTTTACTTAGAAAACAAAACAAAAAATAAAAAAATAATAAACACACAAAAAAAAAATAAGATGAAGCTTCGACCTCGGCTGGCTGCATCACTTCCTTAACTTGCTGCAGTTGCCCAAGGCGTCCAGGATGTGTCCGTGTCCGCACTGCTGCTCGCCCTTGAGCAGGTCTGGATTGATGATCTCGACGTTGGCCAGGAAGCCGCGATCTTTGCTCATGTCCTCGGCCGAGTCCTTGGACAGCTTGTCACGGAAGTCGGCGATGCGATCGCTGATGTCGCTGCCCAAGTCCTTGGCGCGCTCGCCCAGCTTCTTGGCGCCCTCCTTGATGTCGGAGCCCAGATCCTTGGCCTTCTCGCCCAGCTTCTTGGCGCCCTTCTTGATCTGGCAGCCGACGCTCTTGAAGAAGTCGCGCACCTCATGCTCCGAGCTGCTGCTGCTGCCCGTCATCTCCGAGAACTTGTCCCCGATCTCGGACAGCACGGCGGGCACCTTCTCCTCGCAGTCCAGCAGATCCGCCTGGCTGTGGGAGAGTCCCAGCAGGAGCACCGTCAGCACACCAATTACAAATAACTGCCGCATGTCGATTTGTTAATGTTTAATTTGAACAATAATGGATATAGTCCCGTTGTCGTTTAGTTCCTGAGGCGCCCGTTTCCACACTGAACCCGACAATCGACTGCGCTTGACTGGCTGCGAGCGAGGACTGTCCACGCGTTTTATCTACTCCCTCGGTAGTGGCAGCCGAGGCACAGTAATAGCACAATAAATAAAGGCAACAACAGCAACAACAACAGCAACAACAACAACAACAACAATGGCGATCGCATAACAAGTCAGCACCGTTATTTGAGAAAAATTGTCGCCATTTGTTCGTCTGTTTGATTGCTGCCCAGATGCCTTCGCCTTTCCGCTTAATTCAATTTATTGGCTGACGCCAAGTCGCAGCCGCAGTCGCAGTCGCAGTCAGAGTCGCTTGTTCGCTTTTCTTGATTCATAAGTGCAAATTCAATTACAGAGTCTACAACAACATCAACCTAATAAAGAGTGATTCCCGCTTGCCTGATGACTTCCAGCTGCAGCATCCAAATATGCCTACCTGATCTCAAGCAACCGAATATGCCGTCATATATCTACTATAGATTACCTTATCTAAGCTCTCCATGTCTGAGCAAAAAATAAAGCAAAAACTGAGCATAGCTATGCCAAATCTATTTGCAGCTTCGCCTTTTGTTCGCGTCCGTGTCTGAGCTCTGATAAGGCAGCGCCTCAGGCCCCTGTAGAGCATCGTATAGAGCGTATCTAACCTATTCATGTCTCTTGGCACACTCACTCACAGTTTGTTTATGCTGAACAGACTGGGATCATCAAAAATATCTTCCTACGCTCGGCTTACGCATTCACTTGAGTCCAGTTTTGCTTTTTTGTATACTAGGGAAACATGATCAGAGCTACGCACAAGCATTTCATTTGTCACATTCCAGTTTTCAATGCGCTCAACTAGACGCACTTCTCGCATAAGCGATAAACAACTACGAGTGCTCTAATCGGCACTGCACGATTTGATGATACCCCAATCTTGCCTTCTATAGTCATTCCATAGTTCTCATATATGAATTTCTATCACACACACGCAAGTACGTGATCTTGGAAACTGCGCAGTTTATAAAGCGCCAACGTTGCTTCTGTATAATCCTAAAAAGATCTCAATATGATTTTCAGGATCTAAGCCCACGATTCTATTTATATATATGTAAACAACTGGCTCATCAAATCTCATAAATTTTCGTTTACTCACTGTGGAATGGGAAAACAAATACTTGTATTTACATTTATTTATTTCTATTATATTGAACATCTGTTTATCAATTTTCATAAATTATTGTTAACTCACTGTCAAAAGGAAAAAAAAAAAAAAGAAAAAAAAAAAATTGTAAAACAAACAATATTAAAGATTTCCTTTATTTGTTCTTTATTCTCCATAGCGAGTCAGTGTCTGAGCACTTTGTGATTCTGCTTATCACCCTTGCAGCCCACGAGCTAGGCGTTTCCTAATTAGTGCGTTTCAAGGACAGCAAGTTCTGGGCCATCTGATAACCGATCGAACCGAAATAAATAGTTTATTTTTGCTCGCTGGAGCTAAGGATTGACATTTTTATACCCATTCGTGAACCCATTGAAAATAGGTAGTAAAGGTATATCGGTTTTATAAGGAATGTAAGTGGTAGGTAGAAGGAGGAGCCTCCTCCTCCTGATCGACCTGAGTTGACTTAAATGCTATGGGAGCTGAGGACTTTAAAAATTACTGCGTAAATTCAAATATTAAATACGATGTCATTAAATAAATGTCATTAAATAAATGTCATGATCTATTCTATTCTATGTAATATACCAGGAACTTTAGCTAATGTATACATCCGAATACAATTAAGAAAGTCAATCAACAAGAAAGCTAATTCGACACACAGGTGTTTATAAGTGTGTGTATTCCTTACTATCTACAATATGCATAAAATTCATGTCAATAACGATTTCATTTCTATCGTATAATTCATAGATCTGTCTACCGATTAGATCTATTGAAAATCTGTCTGTCATACTCGATGATACCAAGAGCCCACAAGACTCTCTCACTACTGATAATAAAGTAAGTTTCAGCTTCCCAGTCTACTTTCACAGCCAAAAGTAGGAAATAATAGATCAGATCGAGAAAGATACTTAACTAATTCGACATAATTGTTTTGTTTTTTGACGGAACCAGATCGAATCGGCAACTCGCCTTGTCTGATGTTCGTCACAATTGTACATGATTACCCTACACTAATGCACTAATACAAAGACGTTGATTAAATTCATGTTGAGCTTATTATATGATTGCAAGAAGCAGTCATCAAGTGGAAAGAGTTTATTTGGTCAAATCGTTGCCGCCGATGCTGCCGCTGGGATTTAGGAAGGCATCGACATATCGATCGGGGTCAGCATCCGCGTCATCAACAACATCCTCGTTGTCCTCCTCGTCGTCCTCATCCAAGTCGTACCCGTCCTCCGTCTCTTCTTTGGACAGATTCGGCATTAGCTCTTCGGTCGTGGCGATGGTGGGCTCCTCGGTGGTGGTGGTGGTGGTGGTGGTAGTGGTGGTGGTGGTGGCTTTTGTTGTACTCTTCGTTGCTCTGTCACCGGACCAACTGTTGCTTGGCGTACTACCCTTTTTGAGGCCTGCCGAGAAAAGAAATGAGAGGGTCAAAAGGCTTCACGGCCATTAGTTGCTTCGCTGGCCCACTCACACTTGGGCAATGTGGGCTCAAAGTCACATAGTATGCGCTGTTCCATTTCAATGTCATCCAACAACTTGATTTTCTTTGTCGGCAGGGTTGGCCGACGCACGACGTAAATCTCGCGCACCTCATACACCTCCAGATTCGGATTCACGGCAGACGGATAATGACGAACGTAGCGCCTATACTTGACAGGGTTGGGGGGTATATCGGCCGGATATGCCGCCGACTCTAGCAACAGGCTAAAGCCGCAAAGCAGCATCAGACCAAAGAAAGTTGACAGCTTTGCCATTGCTGCAGTATGCGAAGCACTGACTTAAGAACCGCCGCTCGTCGACTTGAATCGACTTGACTTCGTTATCAAATCTGCCCATAGCTGGGTCCGATAGCCTATTGACCCAACGCCGCATTAACAGACAGTGCATACTTTTGGGCTGGCGTCATAATACGTTTCTAATAATTACAGCAGGTAATTAAGTCGACTTGGTGCGATTTGCAGTTTTTACTTTTGTTTTGGCTTTGTCATGTCAAAATAATCGAAAAAAAAGAATACGCATTACCAGAACTAGACTCAAGCATAGTTCGAATTATCAATAAGATTACAAAACTGATTCAACGAGCATCAATATAGCATCTCCGTTAATTTAAAGTGTAAGTGTTAAAGTATCAAATACAACCGCGTACTGTTTAACGATCCAACGAATATCCCAAATATCCTAATCACCAAGCAGCACCCAGAACTCTCCTCTCTCTCTCTCTCTATCTCTCTCTCTCTGTGTGTTTCCCTCTATCTATCTGCGTCTCTCTCTATATAGATTTCTGTTCCTCTCTTTGTGTCTCTCCCACCCTTTCCTCCTCTCATTATTCTTCTCTTTCTCTCTCTCTCTCTCTCTCTCTCTCTCTCTCTCTCTCTCTGTCTCATTCTCCCTTTCGCATTCTCATTTTCTCATAATCTCTCTCTCTCTCTGTTTCCCTCTCTATCTTTTTCTTTCTATTTCTTTCTCTCCCATTGTTTCCCTCTCCTTTTCTTTCGATCTCTCTACCCCCATCTCTTTCTCTCTCCTTCGCTCTCTACCTCTATCTATCGCTCTCGCGATATCGCTCCATAACGATTCAATGCAAGATTTCAGCCTCAGGCTCACGATTTAAGCTAAAATTATACGATATACAACATAGGCTTATATAGAAGAATGTCAGAAACTCATTTATCGAATTTTCATGTCTCAGTAATAAATATGTCGAAACTGCTATGCTATGCTATGTTTAAATTTTGCAGTTCTTAACCAAAGATAAAGTCAGCTTATCAATTACACAAAATATTCATTAATGTTCAGCGGGTCTAACATAAAATATGTGTATCAATCTATATTAAATTTAATATCTTTGTATTGAAGCAACTCATTAGATTAAAAAGTTATTTTACTACGTTGAATTAATTCAATACATATAATCGCTTCACACCAGCTAATAGCCTATATACCCTATCCAGCTTCAAAGGCTACAGGGTATATTGAGATCAATTTTAAGTCAAGTGCATCGCGCTGAATTTGATTTGCATTATATTCATCGTAGTGCCCAAGGTACAGAAATAGGTACAAGAAATTATCAACTTCCCTCAAATCGCATCGCATGACACGTCACAGTCGACAGCCCGGAAGGGTATGATGGGCGTGTTCATTGAATTGGTGACCTTTAAGCAGCAGCTGCGCTCACAGGTGTACGAGGGATTGAGAAATTGTAACTGGTATGATCAAAGTTAGGGGACGCTAACTGAAACAATGGAAGAGAGTGGAAATATATTTCTGTATACATATGTACATACATACATATGTCGTATGATTGTGCATTTTCATCATTGCAATCGAAAAACAGATCAGAATATGCTTGATAGGAACCGACTTGGAGATACCCTGGCCACAATGCGAAATAATGTATTTTGAGGTCAAAGTCAAAGTTTCTTATGCCGTATGACAAGAAATACATTACATTATTGGATTATGATATACAAATGTGGATATATGTATGTACATATATTAGCATAAATTCACTAACTCATTCGGTTGAATAATAGGGCATGCACAAATCTTATTCAGATTTCTTACAGGGTATAAAAAGCTTTTCATTTGTTTGTTTTTTTTTTTTTTTCATTTTCATAGTCTTTGTAGAAAACAGCTGCCCCAAGCAGCAAGCCATTGGCATTGTGAGAGAGCGTGAAAGAAGCAAAGTCGCAGCGGCATTAAATTAATGTTGCCCCGGCTCCTGCTCCACCCACTTGGCCGCATTGGCGGCTAGAGCATTGCTGCTCCGGCCACTGCTCGGGGGCAGCGATTCGAGCAGTTGGTGGCTGCTTTCGCTGGCGGGCAGACGCGCTTCACACACGAGCACGAGTCGCCGACCAGCTGATCGCACAGAATCGAGAGAGAGGGCAACACTGAGAGCGGGAAGGCACGACGAGCGAAGCGGCCGTGGGAGAGAGCGCCGCGTACGTTGGAGCGAGACGGACTATTCGCTCTCAGAGCTAAAAATATTTGTTGTTTTTTTGCGCGAGTGTGTGTGTGTGTATGATTTTTTTTCTTGTTACACAAATTGAATGAAACTGTGTTTGAAGGTGCATACAAATTTGTTGTGCAGTGTTGTTGTTGTTGTTGTTGTTGCCGAAAGTGGCACACCTACATAAATGTCACGGGAAGGCAAGCAGCAGCAGCAGGTAGCGGCAGTGAATGCCTACTAAAAATATACCCCGCATACTAAGAGCCCAGAGATGAGAGCATCCAAGAACGCGGCGCGTGGGTAGGAGCAAAAAAAAAAGGAAAAAAAAATAACAAAGAAGAAACGCCTTTCATTTCATACACACAGAGAAAGAGAGACGGCAGTTAATATATACATACATATACATATACATATACATATATGTATATATAGAAGACATACAATATAGTATAATTGTTAGCATAGCTGAGATAAACAATAAATTGGCAGCCAGCCAGGCCGTAGGGCGGCCAGGAAAAGCGCTTACGGCGTACTCTCTGGCTGGTGCGTCGCGCAACGGACAGCAAACAGGTGGAATCGTCAACAAAGGCAGCCAGCTGCCAGCGCTGCCTCAGCCAAGAGCAATGTCAAAGCAGCTGCAGCAACAGGAAGAACTGAATACAGACCCCACGTCCGACTACGAGGAGCAGCAGGAGTTGGATCAGCAGGCGGAGCAGGACGAGTATGATCCGCTGTCCAATCTGCTGCGCCTGCAGCTGCGCAAGCCCAGCCACTGGAACTGGGAGCTGAGCACCTCGCGCAGCTGCAGCAACATAGCACTGCCCCGCATACTGCTCTACGACCACACGGGCGCGCTGCTGGTGAACGCGGATGGGCACAGCGAGCAGACCTACCGCCCCAGCAGCGCGCAGGACTGCAGGCGCAAGCGGGCCTCGAGCAGCCTCAGCAGGAGCCTGCAGCAGGCGCGACTCGCCGGCAGGCTAAATGGCCTCAGCATAGGCGAGGCGACGGCCAGCAGCGAGGCGCACTCGCTCGTGAGGCAGCAGCTGGCCGGCAGCTGCATTGAGTTCAGCACCCACGAGCTGCCCGACTGGCGGCCGCGTGAGGGGGACAGCTCGCGACGCTCGAGCTCGCTGCGCGGCGAGCGGCTGCCGGTGGAGGCGTACCCCACGCCGCCGTCCACGTCGACGCTGACCACTACGGCGAACTCCTCCTCGTCCGGTCCGCGGGAGAAGCGTCGCTATCGACGCTCGCATAGCTCCGGCCAGCACTCGATTCTGGAGCGGTTCAGCATGACGCGCGGGCGGCACTCATCGCCCGAGTTCGCCCAGGAGCAGGAGCTGGAGCACAGGCCGCGCTACTACCTCTGCAGCAGCAAGGCGGGCACGCTCGTCGTCCAGGAGGACAGCTTCAGTCGCGTGCGGCAGCGCCGCCGCCGGCAGCGGCACTCCTCCACCGAGAACGTGCTGTCACCTCAGGCCAAAAGCCCCGCGGATAGCGACGTGCAGGTCACGGCGCACAAGCGTCAACAGTCGCAGCTGCGCTGCCGGCAGGCGCCACCATTAACATCCGACGAGGACGCCGATGCCCCAGGCCAGGGCCAGGGCCAGGGCCCCAAGCCACAGTCGAGGCACTCGCGTTGCAGGCGTGGCAAGCGCGCTTGCGGCAAGGATTCGCCGGCGCCAGGTGAGCACTGATAAGCGCTAGACTCTGGACAGCTCAACTATTTCCTCTCACTCTCTCTCTCTCTCTTTTGTTTCTCAGAGCTCATCACAGTCGATCCAGGCAACTGCATCTATCGAGCGGAGCCCTGTGCGACGCAGCGCTGACTCTCGGACGGGATACACGGATAATTATGCTCACGTGAGCATCGAGACGACTTACTGTTATTTATTTATATCATCTTCATATATGGGCCACCTCCTGCTTTGTTTTGGTCTTGAGAGCCAACTCTATGTAAATTAACGCAAATAAAAACAAGAACACAAACAGTTAATGGCAAAGCTGCGTATGATCCACGGGCATATCGAAGAACCATTACGTATACGCCATATACACGCTTAGAGATCTGAATGAACAAAGCAAATATAGAGGCAGTTGGATATGGATGGACATGGATATGGACGTAGTGCCTTTGTACTTGGATTTTCAATTCCAACTCATTATCTGACTTCCAGTATAATAGCATAAGCTTGGGTGTCATTGTAATTGCTAAATAAGTCAGAGGTCAGAAAAACTCAAGACTTAATCTCTAGCACATAATCGTACACCGCAATGTGCTCTAGTCCCATATCCATACATAGTGATATTGCTAAGATGTTCCAATTATTTGGTTCAGGAACCCAGTTAAGTCCAGTTTCCTTAAAATCAGAGAAAAGATATTTAATGAAATTTCAACTATATATATATGTATCTATGCTATGCAGGGATGTGATCAAATGCTCTTCTTCTTCAAACTCAAACCATTCGAGGCAGATACATCTCTTATGTATACCCTCTACATAGCTCTATATATACATATAGTACCCATGCAACTAGTACATTAGTCTTATTATTACGAATGAAATACAATTTATACTCCTGGGCAACAATATGTTCAAAACAAAGCTTTTTATTAGACATTATAATTTAAGTGAATTTTATACTCATTCACCAAGTGAAATGCGTTGTCCGTCTTGCTGTCTGTCTGTCCGTTCATATGAACGAAAGCCATTTCGACATTAATGGGGCTAGATACTCTAATTTTGGTATGCTTATTCCCGTGGGTTGATAGTATCAGACAAAAGGCGTGGCATACAATTCAAAATTCGGCAGATATCTTACGCTGCACTCCAAATTATGATTTCAGTGCAATCCTAGGCGGTTATTGTGTATTGTTAGGCCTATGAATATTACAAAAATATATATTTATATGTTGGGCAATGATTTGACTCCAAAGCAAAGATACTACAGAGTCCTTCTCGCCTGCTATATCAAAACGGTTTCCACTGTCGGTAGCGCTCGCCCGCAGCATTCTTACTTGTTTTCTTAATTAATTTCTTGGCTCTCAATAAAAGCTTATTACAAGTGTAGCAACAAAATGCTCATAAACAGAAGAGCAGCGATTGTTTTCTCAGCCGTATTATCACCCCAATTGGAAAATGTTACAGCTGTTGCTGCTGTTCGCTGTAAAGCGAATAGAATGATGTGCCGCAAAGTATGCAATCAAATCGAAGCAATCAATTGCGCAGTGTCTTAGCTGACGGCGGATCTCTAATCAGCGCTGACAAAAACAGAAGCGTGGCCAACGAGTCCAACCGACTGCACGATGCACTGCTAGGCTCAATTCTAGCGACAGTCAATCAGTTCTAGCCTTGGAGCAGGCATCCCACACTAGCAGCAGTCCGATATAGCAAGGAAACAGTGAGCATCAGCGGGAGCTTTGCTCGACTCTCGGTTCAGTTTGCAGCTCTCGTGTCGAGTGCGGGCAAGCTAATACGGCCTGCTTGGATTAGCTGAACGGTGTATAGAGAGTGTTTTCTTAACTGTAAACAGACTGATAAGCGGCTGGGCGAACTGGGCGAACTGGGCGAAGGGAGAGCGAGCGGTGGCGCGACGGAGAGGCGAGCACACAGATTGAGCGTGTCAGCAGCCAGGTCCATATTGAATCTGGATTCTGGGCGCGTGCTAAACGGTGGTCAGACAGCGACGTGCTGGCTTAAGAGAACGAAGATGCTGCTGCGCTCGGGACTCCTGTGGCGGCTGGCCGTGCTGGTCGTGCTCGGGGCAGCGCTGATGCTGTGCCAGCTGCGTGGCAGTGCAGCACGCGTGATTTACTTCAATGCACTGAGCAGCAATGAGAGCTTGGCGGAGCGGAACGGCTCTCAAGATGCTGTGGGCAGGGGCATGCTGTTCGAGTCACGGCGGATGGGCTGCAGGCGTGGATACATGCGCGATCATCACAATCGCTGCCGCCGGGTAAGTGAGGCCACCGGCCGTGTGAATATTCGAATTTTCATGAATTGACTCGCTCGGTGCCGATTGCAGATTGTGTAGCGACCTTTGGACTGAGGCTCGTTACCTTATCGCTTATGCAGAACCCATTAACGTTTAACAAATACATTATGTTTATACAAAATATTAAAAAGAAGCACGACGTCACAAGACCACAGCCAACCCATATTTGTCATGATGAAATTACGCGAAATTTCACGAACTGCGCTAGACACTCCATAGATACCAATGCAGATACAAAATACACGACTACAAGATACACAATGTTCCTAGATAAAGGGACCAACCGCACGGCGCTGACTCAGTCGTGCGCTTTCGAATCGATAATGAAGCATTTGGCTGCCACTGGCTTGATCACATTTTTGGAAATTTCGAATAATGTTGCTATAGCAGCTGCTCTGTGACGTACCCGGGGGCTTTCTGGGAAAGCCATGAGACAACCACAGCAGTTGACTACATCGATCGTGGCCCAGCGAGTCATGCTGCCGGCGGTGTTTTCGGCCCACAATATGGACACAATAAATCGCCAACGTCTGCCTGCGGTGATCCCCTCTAATATGGCTCAGTTCGCTCACTATGCTTGACATTGTATAAGGTACATACATGCATGGTTATGCGGAAAACATATCTCCAATTGCTGATTGCTGCTTAACTAGCTTTCTGTTGACTCGTCAGCCGATCGGAAACAAAAACCATTTAATGTAAGCCACCTGGAACTTGTCGTCTAACGAATACCCTGGACTAGAGTGTCAAGCAATCAGTCCTTCAATTTGTAATGAGTTTTTATTAAATTAATTTATCATCTTACATTCACACAAATTAAAATTTTCCATCTTCAAATTTACATCCCCGAAACTTATTTGATAAATATGATTTCTATACATACACGATTATAGCCCCAACAAATATTATATTTTTTTTTTTAGTTTACCTTACAATAACTGTTATTAATATTATAATATTATACCCTACTTTATTCAATAAATTAAAATAAAATCTAGCCAATTACTTCTGCTATTTCTGGTAAAATTGTGAGATATTTTATCTTCAATATATGCGACTAGGAGTTGCTAGAATTGCCTTTGGGATTACTTTGTACTAGAGACACAATAGAATGGAGACTAGCTTTTATAAGTAGTCAATAAAATCTCTATGTGGGCTGATTGAAAAGTTGTCGCAATGCCATAATTTTCAATATTTTTATCTTCTGCAGGGTATCTTGAAGTCGACAACCCGAGGCTCAAGCTACTTTTCTACATCTATTATAATGTTTTGCAACTCATATTAACTATTCTGAAAAATATTAGTTTTAAAGTTTTCGCTGTTAATAAACGTATAGGTCTAGATAAAATATATATAATTATTGTAGGTTATTATTCACAAACAATTGTGTGTTATACCATGCCAATAAAATTTCATTCATCAATACTGTGCTCATCTTATCGCTATCTCATATATGTATATACATTTGTTCTGAGCAACAGCGAATTCGTATTCGTTTCGGCCTTAAAGCATATGCTAAACTCACACGATAAATTACCTTTTTATGTATTTCAAATACGATTTTATTTAAGAGTCTAATAAACATTTGAAAAATTAGAATATAAATTTTATTTCATTGAATTCTCAAAGCAATTAAAAAAGTCGTTTGCTTCTCTTTATTCTATTTCATAACAGAAATTATAATACAATTTTTATCTAAAAAAAAATAATAGTTGTATGATAGTTATAGGGAAACCCGACTAAAACACCATAAAGCAGAATAAAAGTCTTAAGAGATATCAGACAAAAAATTACACCTGGAATAAGATGTGAATTATTGTTGAATTTGAATCTGCTTCGTAGCTCACTTAAGGTGCAGGGTATTGGCTCTTCGGTACTCTGGTTTCTTTTTCGTCTCTTGCGATCTACAAGTGGATAGAGGCTCTTACTAAAAAATAAGTATTAGCTCATATACTATTTTCGAGGATCTGCTCGATTGAAGCGATGCCAAATGCTTTTATATTTAGAAGCGCTGCCGCACGTTCTATGCAATATATCAATTAATTCTGATGATAAGCTTCGTTTCTGTGCGCCGATATCTAAGCTGAAGATGGGCTTCGTGCACTGATTTCATTGTCACGTTGAATATTTGTTAAGTACGTAAAGCAAGGCAAGGCAAAGCAAAGCAAAGCAAAGCAAAGCAAGACATTCAATTACCCAGATTGCGAATGACATAGTAGCGGCTCTCAGATAAGATTCGCCCATACAGGGTGCCGCCACAGTTACTCAGTCAGTGGGGTAGCCTGTATAGTTTATCAAGACCCAGTCGGAGGCGACGCCAATGCTCGGCTGGCAGGCAGAGGCCACTTTTACTTAAGAACTGCTTGCCCAAATCGTATATAATCAGTTAATTGACGGCGTTGGAGCGTATAACTCGGTTGCTACCAGAACAGGCCTACTAGAGCTCCAGCCCCCCATAGCGATTACACAATTTCACATTCTCACGAAAGTGCAAGCAACGAGAGAGAAAACTAAGTTTGAACACAGAAAGCAAAGGGGAGAGAGTGCATTGTCACGAGAGAGATCGATATCGAGAGAGAGAGAGAGAGGGAGCCATCAACCAAAAGAGAGAGCGAGATCATGATGCAGCATCGCATCCATCAACTGCTTCTGTATGCGCTGTGCCTACTCTTCGTGGTCGTGCTGTGTGCTCCAGCACCGAGTGAATCGCGCCGTGTGATCTTCTTCGCGCCACCAGGCATTGCCCGGGGCCAGATACTGGCCACGCACGGCCTGGAGAAGCCCTGCCAGAAGTGCCACATGAGAGACCATCGGGGCAACTGTCGCCGTCTAATATCGTACAGTTCAGGTGTGTATTGAGGCCCAGGCCAATGGTGTCTTATCTCGAGTGTGCTTAACTCTCTGCATTTGCCTCTTTCAGATGGCTCGCGGTGTTGACATCGCGACCGGACACAGTTAAGCGCTATCAACTGAATCTCCAACTCTCTCAGAAACTAAACATAAACGTCATCAAATCTATTTATTCGCGTTCAGTGCACTATTTATTACATTACTATCACACCCTACGATTACCTACCCCAAAGACAGTTGCGTGGATATCTGTAACAAGTTTATGTTCTTTTTTTTTTTTTTTGGTTATTGGTTAAATAGTTCCTAATGATATATGTACCTTTACATAACCATGTTACAACATTACAAATTGATCATGGAATTTAAATAACATAACATATTTATTTCCCTGAAAAAAAAAAAAAAAAACAGAAAAACGTATACTCTAAACATTATTGAAAATGGGTATTTGGGTAAAGTGGTTTTGTGAAAATCTCTGTAATCTCTGTGTGATAGCTATACCTTTACAATTTCAAGCATATAGTATCTCTGCAGCTTCGAGTTCTATAATGAATAATCCAATTTCATATTAGAGGTCAATATACGTATAAGTGTCCTCACCTATGGATTGTTTGCTTTTCTGCGTTATATATTCATGCATCAAGCTGAAAGTGATTTGAAGAGCAGATCTGTGTCAGATTCTAGTCCGATTAATAATAGAATAAAGAGATGTTAGCTATGTGTGTATGATCATAAAGTTTTTATAATTCAATCAAGTTGACTTCAGAAAAAGTTCTATGAAATATAAGTAGAAGATTTCTTAGATTTCTTCTGCAAGATAAGAAGTCCTTGCATAATCAGCTTGACGTCAGCTCTGCCAAAAATTATATGACAGCCAAATTTGAATATTTTTACCGAGTCAAATGAAAGTTTTTCTGATAAACAAAAACTAGATCAGGCAATGTCCCTTTGTTTTAGCCGACTTAACAATGGATTATATATAAAGATCCCCTGCCCCACTTTACATTTTTGAAGATATCTTCGTGGCTAATTATGTACATAGTATACCTTACAGACCATATCAATTCGAACCACAATAGCTTACATCGTATCGAAATAGTCGGTCGGAACAAGCTTTTGTATTGAAGTGCCAGTAAGCTATTTGTCTACATAGGAATTAGTTATATTTTACGTGGCAGTAAAAAGACTATTCGATTCAGAGGTTTATTAGAGACTAAAAATAACATAAGCATATACGCTG